ATTTGGCACAGTAGGTGGCCATTCCTAGAAAACTACGAACATCCTTAACAGAGCTTGGTGGTGATGCATTCTTGATTGCTGAAACTTTATGAGGATCCGCAGAAATTCCTTCTGCCGAGAAAACCATACCAAAAAATGTCAATTTGGTTTGACTGAATTGGCATTTTTCGTTGTTCAAAGTTAGACCAACTTTGGTAAAGCGCTGACAAACATTGTGAAGAGCGGTATCGTGTTCTTGTTGAGATTTCCCATAGATTATGACATCATCACTTATATTGATAGCACCAGGTATGTCATGAATTTGATCGTGGATAACTTTCTGGAATAGTTCACTAGCTGAATTAGTTCCAAAATTAAGCCTTTTATATCTACGTAATCCTTTATGTGTCACAAAGGTGGTAATATATCTGCTTTCCTCTGCTAACAACAACTGATGATATCCCGAACGCAAGTCTAGTTTGGAGAATACCTTGGCACCATTCATTGCATGTATATAAGATCATCAACCGTGGGACATGGGTGTCGCTCTCTCTGGATAGCACAGTTTGCACGCCTCATGTCAACGCAGAGGCGCACAGTTCCGTCATTTTTGGGAATAACAACCAGAGGCGAAATCCATGGTGTGGGCCCCTCAACTTTCTCAATTATGTCATCCTTTTCCAGTTGTTTAAGAGCAGCAGAAACTTTTCTTCGTAAATGAAATGGAATTCGACGTGCTGGTTGTGCTACAGGGGGTACAGAAGAATCAACATGCAACTTTGCCTCAAAATTGTGTAATTTTCCAATTCCATGAAACAAATGGGGAAATTTTTTGTCCATTTTATCTTTTAGAGAGTCGTGACATTGTTCAATTTTGTCATTACCGGTGACTTTGACATTGTTTACATTTACTTTTATAAGGTTTAGTTCTGTAGCCGTTTGATAACTTAACAGTGAGCCATAATTGCCTCTGACTACATGAATAGTAGAGACAGTCATTCGTTTTTTTGTCTCGATTGTGGCTTCGAATGTCCCAATCACTGGTAATTGTTGTTTGGAACCATACGCAAAGAGTTTAGTACGTGTTCGTTTTAATGAGATACGTTTGTATTTGTTGATATTGGCGAATGTATTTTCGTCAATAATGTTAATTGATGCCCCAGTGTCTATGATCATTTTGACATGTACATTGTTTATTTGTACTTTGGTCGAAGGCATTTTTGTTGATTTAGAGTCGACACATGTATATAAATGCTCATCATCGCTGCTGCTACTAGGGCTATTCGAATAGTGGTCTTCTTGATATCCAACCTGTTGAATATTGTGTTGATTGTTGTCTGGGCGGATAGGTCTAGGTCTTGTATTAATAGGATTCCTTGTCGATGGGACGCTGCTGCGACAAACTCGGGCATAATGGTTTTGTTTATTACATTTTCGACATGTTTGTCCTTTAGCAGGGCAAGGTGCGTCACGATGAGGCCAAGATAATCCACAGTTGCGACACTGTTGTCGTCGCTGTTGTCCATTAGATCTTGGGGGATTTACAAAATTTGCTTCTTCGTCTTGAATATTAGTCGATGCTAAACGTTCTTCAATGCCCTTGGCTTGCTGTTCGCTATTTTCCAATGTTCTAGCTTTCGATAACAACTCGGTGAGAGTCACTTTATCTTGCCGTAAGGCATACCGCCTGAGATGTTTAGATCGACAATTTTGAATAATAGCCGATTTTATTTCATGGTCTACATCGTGGAATTCACAGTGAGCTGCTAGTTTGCGAAGTCGTGTTGCAAATTGGTCTGTTGGTTCATCGGCGTTTTGCTTTGCTTGACGGAATTGAAATATCTCGTAATCCACATTTTTCTTCGGGGAAAAATATTCGTCCAATTTCTCAATTGCAGTCTTGTAATCATTGTCCTCTCCTGTCTCTGAAAGTGTATCGAAGATTTCCTGTGTTGCCTCACCGGCTTGATAAAGTAACAATGCTCGTTTCTGGGCATTATCTTTCACATTTACCGCGACTAAATACGTTTCGAATCTGCGTTTCCAAACTTTCCATCGTTGACTTAAGGATGTCGGTTCTGATATCGGATCAAACGGAGCAAGAGGAGCTACATCTATCTTTCCCGCAGTTGCCATACTAAAGCACTGATATCGATTATAACTTTCGTTTTAGCACATTTTTCCTCGTCGCCATTGTAATGTTGTACTTATTTATTCAACGCTCAATCAATCACTAATGTGAACACACCCTAAAACTATATATAAATGTTATTGTATCACATGTCTATCATGTGATCACTGCAGAGAGGTGTCCTTATTAGAGATGTGACTATATTAGAGAAGTGTTCATATTACAGAGATGTCCGTATTATAGGAAGTGTTCGTATTAGAGAGGTATCCATATTAGAGAAGTATTCGTATTAGAGATGTGTTCGTATTAGAGAGATGTCCATATTAGAGATGTGTTTGTATTAGAGAGGTGTCCCCCATTAGAGATGTGTCCATATTAGAGAGGTGTCCGTATTAGAGAGATCCATTTAGAGTGACTGTCGTTGGTTATTTTTATTGTTCGTTATTCTTAGAAAAGTTATGTGTATTATTGTAGGTGATGATAAAGATTTTCCAACTCTAAGAAAAAGAGTTCAGACGTCGTATTTGGAAGCAGCTCATGTCAAAACTAACAGAATGGGAATTACAAATGTACTGTATTGGCTGTAACATAATGTTCATAGTAAAATAATTGATTTGAGTGTGCTGCACCCGGAATTGTAGGGCCGTAGGTTCGATTCCTGCTTGACGGCCTATGGTTGTAGCTGTTTCTGGGTCAGGTCTAGAAATGTATATAATTTTTGCTCGAAATTTCCATCTACAATAGACAATTCCCGTTATAGACTAATTTTTTATCTTGGCAAAAAAGTATATTCCCGGAAAGAGCATACTAAAATGAGTAAAATTGCAAAGCTTGGTTGCGAAGCGTTGTAAAATGCGGAAAATATAGTCTTTCAAAGTTTGCATATTTTGTATACTTTTGTATTCCGTGCGGAAATTGCTACCACATTTGGGCCGAAAATGGTAGCAATTTCCGCACGCAATACAAAAGTTAACAAAATTTGCGATCTTTGCAAGACTATATTTTCCGCATTTTACAACATTTCGCAACGAAACTTTGCAATTTTACTCATTTTAGTATGCTCTTTCTAGCTGTGGTGATTTATTTGCATCCCCTTGCCTAGTTTTAAAATTAGTCTATAATTGGAATTGTCTATTTATTTTACCATCTATAAATTGAACGGTCTGTGCGATAAAAAGACACTTTAAGAACTTCGACGTTTCCAGCGAAACGCTAAGTTTGGCTAAGTTGCCAACATCTTGCTGGAAATCATAGTTCTTTTCAACTTTTCTGATTACAGTTTTGTCACACATTTTTAAAGGCATTCAGAAATTATTGGGTGTTGCATGGGGGTGTTGGGCATTGAACTATAAATAAACTGGAAGGCTAACTGCTATGATGAAGGCCTATGATTTGATGAAGCCAAAATAGTTTTTCTGAGTTATGAGCAGAAATACTTGACCCCAAACGTTGGGCTATATATCAAATTGAAGCTATTGAAAAATAGCTTAAAAAATATCGGCAATTATTTTTGCAGTTTTTCAATATTTCCCTTTTAGCTAAAGTCTTGAAATTTGTACACCAAATAGCGTTTTTCAATAGCTTCAATTTGATATATAGCCCAACGTTCAGTGTTGAGTATTTCTGCTCATAACTCAGAAAAACTAAAATGCACTGGCTTCAATTTCCCCCATCCTAAGTTAGTCTTCCAGTTTATTTATAGTTCACTGGTGTTGGGTTGTCCCTAGCCTCCTCCCCGCAGTGTCCGCCGTTGATGTATACCACTTTAATATAACAATCAATCAAGCTTTATTAAAAGATGCTCTTCCAAGGAGCCATATAAAAAATCTTACATGCGTTTGATATCAAATTTGATTACTATATAGAATTAAATTTGATAAGTAGACAAAGCATTTTTAAAATGTTGTATTGAAGTATTGAATTCTTCAAATCATCCGGAAGATCATTCCACAGAACGACACCACGGTAGCTAAAACTCCTGTTGCCGGCATCCGTTGTGGGAATAGAAATTCTGTTTGAACTACCTCTAAGGTTATGTCAAGCGAAGTTCGTTCGAAAATAGTATTAAGATAACTAGAATATAAATTATTTACTGACTTAAGCCCTGGGCAAACTAGGAAACATTGTTGCAATGTTGCATGTGGAAATTTTGTGATTCTCGATGTTTCCTCAAATGTTTCCATGTTTGCCCACCCGTGGAAACATTGTTGTGGAAACAAAATTTGCTTCCCGGTTAGCAAAAATGCTTCCTACGAAACATTTGATGTTTCCCTATGTTTCTCACTAATGTTTCCTAGTGTTGGCCCACTCTGGGAAACATGGCGAAACATTGGTAGGGAACAATGTTTCCGCAACAATGTTTCCTAGTTTGCCCTGGGCTTTATAAACACTATTACTCGCAAGTTGTTTGGCACGTCTCTGGCCAAGATTCTCCCAATCGATGCAGTATATTAGCTCTGAAAATGTTATTAACAGTATTGACTATTGGCTTTCTTGTTCAGTTCACAGTTAAGAAACCACTACAAAATGATGAGTACGCTGTTATTATTGAGGAAGGCGAAGAAGCGCATTGGGAAGTAAGAAGAAATTTGTCGCTTAGTTTTTTTGTTGGGCTGGTGAACAACTAAAGCAAAGGCGTATATACCTGTCTACTGCATACTGCAGACGTTAGGGAGCCATAGAGCGATGCCACATATACCTCCATAGTTTAAGGAACTAATTCCAAATTTAGGATATGCGCCTCAAATCTTCGTAACGTACACGCGTAAAATCTCACATCTTGGAGCAGGTCTGCTAACAAGCCGTCAACACGTTGTGTTCGCACTGCTTGTCCCAAGTTGTCAACAAGTTTGGAACAAGGTGTTAACAACTTGTAACAACCTTGTTGGTATTATCAGACTTGTTAAAAGGTTGTTCCACCAAATCCGATACATTCATGATATAAAAATATTGTGTGTCGTCAACCTTGCAACATTCTTGTGAAATCATGACTGCATCAGACTTGTTAGAACAACCTTGTAACAAGTCTGATAATGCCATCAAGCTTGTTACAAGTTGTTAACGACTTGTTTCAAATTTGTTACAACAACTGGGAACAAGCAGTGCGAAGACAACTTGTCGACGGCTTGTGAACAGATTTGTAACAACTTGTTTTCAGACCTGTAACAACTTGTGCGTTTTTACGTGTGTAGTTGAATTATAGAGTTGCAGACTTGCAGTCCAACTTGTACAAAAACGCTGAATGGCCGATTAATTTTACTCTTCACCGACATTTTGAGCGAGCAAATAAAATACGCAGGTATATCATTTGATTAGTGGTGTTCATAAAGTATAAAAGCGAGAGAACGAACAGAAAACATTTTCTTGGCTTCGTTGTGACAATTAGGAACAAAATCACATCACAAGTTTTGGTACCAGATATGCGAAAATTCCAAAACCTCATCCATGGAAGAACCAGTTCAGATGCATGGACCTTTGGGACTGCTTACCAACAATTACTCTCAATTTCAATTTGCTTTTCAAAACTGACTTCCAATGTTTACTTGTAAATTCGGAATGTTCATTGTAAAGTTTCGAAGTTTATTTCGAAGTTCGTTCCGATGATTTACGATGATTCAATAGCAAGTAACTTGATTGGCTGGTTCGTTCGACTAGCCAATTACAACTTACTAAACTTGATTATCGGAAATCATTGGAACGAACTTCGAAACCGACTTCGGAACTTTACAACGAACATTCCGAATTTACAAGTAAACATTGAAAGTCAGTTTTGAAAAGAAACTTGAAATCGAGAGTAAGTAATGTGATTGATCATGTGGGAAGTGAACAAATTGATAGCAACTGATAGTTTGTCAATTGAATGTAAATATTGAAAAGCTGCATATGTGGAAGCAGGGCTTTTAAACGGCACCACAAGTCAATCTTGGATTGAGTTTTGAAGCTCAATCATCTCATCAAAAGTTTCAGTGCAGTAAAAATGAAGTTGTTTAAGTTAAAAATGTGATGTGGAATTCGAAATATTTTTTCCATCGGAAACCAAAGTAAGAAGAAAACGAACATAATGCCTGCAGTTCGTTTCACAACACAAGAAAAACCATGTTTCCGCCATCTTAACTACAAAGTGTAAAGGCTAAAATCGTGAAGCTTCCCGGACCTTCACCCTTCCTCTTGGGTTTCACCTTGCCCCACCCATCCCACCCACTAGGGGGATAGCAACCCCTAGATCGCCAGCTGTTTAGGTAAACTCAATATTCTCTGCAGAAACGGACCGAGTAATAAATCCTGAAAAAATGCTGGGAGATAGAGGGGCTCGCTATCGAAACATAGGGTTACCGACAACTCCAAAATCCTTGGCTACCTCATAAACATAAATAAAATCTACAGGCATGTACCTGTTTATTCAGCGTATTCAAGATATAAAACATTGCTGTAGCTGTTTTTTTTTCGTCTTTCAGGTAGTAGAAAGAGTGTTGTTTATTTATGCTAAACTTAATCCTGGAACATCGTATGTGCAGGTATGGTGGCACAAAAGCTAAGCATGTCATGCGTTTCACAGCTGAGTGAGCTGACACAGTTGACACTTATTTTCAACTCGTCTCATGAACTGTATATTTTTAGGGAATGAATGAAATAATTGGTCCTTTGTATTATATCTTCGCTTCTGATCCGGACGTGAAATGGAGAGGTTTGATGTTGTGTTACTGTAATTCTTCATATATACGAGAACTGTACGCACTATATGTAAATTTAAAGTTTATTTTTATTTTCGTAAATTTAAAGTTAATTTTATTTAGGTTCGAGTTTAGTCTATGCCGGCATAGTCTGTCAAGATATGATGTCTGCATGGAAAGCCGGCAAATTTCAAAGCTACAAAATAGAAGACCTTTGCATGTCTGATGTTGAACTGAACCTTATCGTGCACAAATCCTTTGTCTCAACTTCATTAAATAAATTATTCACCGTGGTTGCACGTTTCATCTCAGCATGGATAATAAAATAAATGGATAGGAAACTAGCTGACGTGACCTAATGTTTTCAATGGGATGATGGCGTGATTGGATGTTGAAACCTAGTTGCAAACCAAATTCTCAAAAACGGCATGTTTAGCAATAATACAGCTAAACATTTTAGTCAAAGAGCAAATGAATATAACTACGCCATTCTACGATGAAATCTCTAAGTATTCCCAGTCAATTTTAGCAAATATTTCAAGCACTAAACAGTGAAAAAGGCATCCCAAATTTCGTTAAAATTGGGGACGCCAATTTCGTAGCTACAAATGTAAAAAAAATACAAAACAAAGACGAAAAACATTTACCTTGAATACTTTGTCGTGGCTTAGGCATGTTTTTAAAACAATAAGACCAGTATATGCTTCAATATTACACTTTTAAAGCGGAAAGTATAGCGAAACAACAAAAATGCCGAGAACTTTGCAATACGCGTGACGTCACAGATTGCAACTAGGTTGTTTTTGCTTACGTCAGCTAGAGTCCTATCCATTTATTTTATTATCCATGATCTCAGCTATCCTTATTGGATGATTACTTCATTATACAAAAATACAATGAGCTCAATCACCGCGTGACCCTGCACAAATTAATATAAACTCAAACAAAAACATAATACAATGACTTCTGACAGTTCTATTTAGTTTCCAGATCATCATATCTTGATAGAGTATGATGCCGTCGGAGTCATATTAGCTCCATTGGTTAAGTTTTTAAATAGCTAACTCCTCCTGATTTTTAGAGTTATTAGCCAGTAAACGCTAGGGGTCGGTTGTACAAAGGCTGGATAGCGATTTTTTCAACCGTTCTAAAAGTGCTTGGAAAGTGATACATAAAACCACGAATATGGATCCCACAATTATTAATAGGCAACATATACACTAAAGTTTAATCTGGGTTATATACCTGCATGCCGTCAACGTCCAATTTAAGAAAGCTTGAAAAATCACTATCCGGTGGTTTCCATGGGCTCGATTTTGAAGGTAGCTCCACTTGCCTTCGCATTATTTTTGTATAGTTGGCCTGTATAACATCTGAATTCTTAATTCAACAATATTTTGATTTTTTTAATTTGCATGTACTGTAGTTAGCCCCTTATATATGGACATAGCGTCGTTTTCTGTGGCCATGTCCCGGCTGGGTGTGACGTTTTCGTGCCGAGATCTACCCTAGACTTGCTCCAAGTCTCTCTTTCATTGTCATATCGATCCACTATAGTGTACATTACATGACGTAGCACGGAGAGGCGGAGCGAGAAAGAGAGACTTGTCAATTTCGGAAAATCTCGGTTCAAAACTGAACCGAAAATGCAAGACTTGCTTTAACTGTTTTCTGTCAGTGTTTACATGTATTGATCTAGCACAATGTAAATAACATGAGTTCCATTATAGTAAATAATACAGAAAGAAATTGAAGGAAAACAATTAAAGCAAGTCTTGCATTTTCGGTTCAGTTTTGAACCGAGATTTTCCGAAGTTGATAAGTCTCTCTTTCTCGCTCCGCCTCTCCGTGCTACGTCATGTAATGTACACTATAGTGGATCGATATGACAATGAAAGAGAGACTTGGAGCAAGTCTAAGATCTACCCCAGATCAGGGGGTTTAGCTGTACTTTAGTCTGCACTCGTCCCTTTACCCGCCATGCCTACTGTATAAAACTTTCCTGACACCAGAAAATATAAACTCTACTGAACGACATCTGTTGTCGGGATTTCGATCAGCAAGGATAAGAAATTCTTCATATGAACACCTATCACCTGCTTGGATGCGTCTGCCTTTTGGGCATGTCTGAATCGCTTTACTGCGAAAACATGGCGTAGTACCGCTTTTTTGGCTTCGACCAGGTGCCCAGACGAGTTTTCCAGCTGGCTGGAACAGAATACGTCTCTTCGGCGTCGGAAGATAACATTGACATTGGTCTGAATCATTCTTGATATCATGCTCAACCTCATCCAATAATTTGTTTATTATTTCTTGAGTCATATATTATTGATATGCAGTTCAGGATTCAAAATATTGCCTGCATGTAGTTCATGTAATATGCTGCACTTTTAACCAATAATTTTCTAACTTTTTCAGAATTTGCTGAGCCGGATTCCTTTTTCTGTTTTATGAATCTGATGTCTGAAATTCGAGATTTCTTTATTAAAACGTTGGACGAGTCTGCTGTTGGAATAGGTCTGTATAGTTTCATATTCTGAAAAACAATGTTCGAAATGGGCCAGTTTAATCACAGGGAGCCCAACCATGTCCTATTTATTAATATATCATGCAATAATATAGCCAGGTGAGCGTGTTGGCCAGATAATTAAAAAATTCGACAATTTAATGAAGATTTCAGTTAGCATGCGACATTCAGAGCGGAGTTAATGTTTCTCGTGGCCTAGCGCCAGCTGAGCTAAATGGAAACTTTTGAACTGTGAGTCACCTGACATTGTTTTGCGTACTAAAAACAGACAAAATATATATTTTAGGCTACACCATGCTACATGACATCCTCGCAACACGTATCTAGTACCAAATTTTTCTTAAAGCTTAATGGGAGCACAAGTTTCAAGCTTAGTAGTTGAATATTGCAGCTATTTGTGAATGAATTGTTCTCGTAAGAACATATTTACCATATAATAGTTTTGTTTGTGGAAACACCACGTAAATTTGTTACTGCAAAGCTTTCGATCCGTAAGCCCGGATCTTCATCAGTGCTAATAATATATGTGACTTGTTCAATTCACACGCCCTTTTAACTTTTTATATACAAAAGTGTCGTGATCTGTTGGCTCGCGTCATTTTTACCATATCTCAACGAAATGGGCCCCATGCATATAAGATTTCTAAACTGATTAAATGTTTGATGCTCCCATAGTGCTTTGCACGCCTAGAGTTCAAGGTTTAGAATTTAAGGTTTGCAAAAGACAACCTTTTTTGAATTAGCTGTATATAGCTATTTCAATGGACCATTCGCATTATAGACTAAATTTTGATCTAGACAAGTCTAGACATTTCATCACAGCTTGAAAGAGCATCACCAAATTAGTAATATTCCAAACTTTCGTTGCGAAATGTTGTAAAATGCGAATAATATAACCTTGCGAAGTTTGCCGTTTTTCAGTCATTTTGTATTACGCACGTGAAATTGACAGCCCAATCGGGTGTTGGGGCATCAATTTCCCGTTTGTAATACAAAACGACTGAAAATTGCAAATTTCGCATGGCTATATTATCCGCATTTTACAACATTTCGCAACGAAACTTTGGAATATTACTAATTTTGTGATGCTCTTTCAAGCTATAATGAAATTTTTGTCTAGACCAAAATTTAGTCTATAATACAAATGGTCCATTAAGGTTGTCCCCCGAGCAAAGCGGAAAAGTCGAATACGAGCGCGAAAGGCTGCTGGGAATCGCTAATAAATTCACTATGATTCATTTATTAGCGATTTCCAGCAGCCTTTCGCGCTCGTATTCGACTTTTCCGCTTTGCTCGAGGGACAACCTTAATTGAAATAGCTGTATATAATAGTTACGTTTTTTGGCTGATCTAAATTGTGAAATTGCTGGCTAAACGTAATTGTGAAAACGAATCATCTTCATCTCGCCTGAAAAAATGTGTCTTTTTTCGTGTCGAAACATTCAGGAATGCGACTACATCACTGTTCATTACTATCGAATTACTGTACATTATAACTGTTCAATACTGTACTACATTACTGGGGCGGTTGTATAACAAAGTGATTAAAGTTAACTATAGTTAGTGGAAACGTCATCCAATAAGAAGCGCGTATTTGAGAGTTAATCACTATTTAACTACAAAATAGTGATTAAAAAAGTGATTAAGAGTTTTATACAACCGGCCCCTGTACATTACTGTACATTACTGTTCACTACTGTACATTACCGTACATTACTGTTCACTATTGTACTACATTACTGTTCATTACTCTACATTACTGTACATTACTGTTCACTACTGTACTACATTACTGTACATTACTGTTCACTACTGTACGTACTACATTACTGTTCACTACTGTACATTACTGTTCACTATTGTACTACATTACTGTTCATCACTCTACATTACTGTACATTACTGTTCACTACTGTACTACATTACTGTACATTACTGTAGACACTACTGTACTACATTACTGTACTACATTACTGTACTACATTACTGTACATTAATGTTCACTACTGTACTACATTACCATACATTACTGTTCAATACTCTACATTACTGTTCACTACTGTACTGTTCACTACTCATGTACATTACTGTACATTGCTACTCACTACTGTACATTACTGTTCACCACTGTACTACATTACTGTTCATGAAAAAACGGCGTATAACACCGAATTTTTTACTGACAGCGAGCTTACAGTACACCAACACCCTGTAACACCCTGACAGCGAGCTTACAGTACACCAAAAAAATTAAGACCATAAAATTAAGAATTATACAAATGTAGCTTAAGTTACATGGTGATTTATATAAGTCCATAGCAAACTAGATGCTTCAAATCCTACTTATGGGGTGTCTACAGTATATTGAAAATGATAACTCAACAGAAAACATGAATAACAAAAAAACCGACACAATCTTGAACTGTATATAATCGATATTTGATACCCGTTATCAGTGAATAATTTGCTACTGTTGATCTACTGTATATATACTGTGTATATATATATAGGTAGTAGTATGGAAGAATTGATGACTATTTTACAAGATCGTGATTTACAATTATGGCAGTCTTTGGTGAGTATAAAATACAGTTACTTGGAGTTATCGTTCCAGTATTTATAGAAGAGTTCACTGGCAACACCGCGTATTGACTGCTTAATTGCACTAGAATGACTGGAATTAGTCTTGTCTTCACGAAGCTCTATGGAAAAAAGAGTAAAGAAAGTTACGAGAGTTCAAACGCAGTATAACTTTGTTTTGACATATGAATTCAAAAAAGCGAAGAAATTCTTTACTTTATAGCTTTAATTGTTTCCCCATATATAGTATAAACACTTTTCTTTCCCCATATTTATCTTTTTCCTATTATGAAGGCTGATTTATACTATGAAACTTTCTGTGATCAAGTAGAAATTTTGCGAAGGTGAATTCTAAGTTTGAAAGATTCGTAATAAATATTTGAGGGAACGAAGGCCGGATAGCGCTATCCACCGGATAGTGATTTTTCAAGCTTTGTAAAATGCTTGAAAAACTGTGAAACTACGGATATAAACGACACAAGAAGTATAAAAAACATTTAACTTATAAATACTAAACTTTAATACGAGTTATACCAATCAACGACTGATTTAACAAAGCTTGAAAAAATCACTATCCGGTGGATATCACTATCCGGCCTTCGTACAACTGGCCCCAGGTGTTTAAGGTTACAGGACACCCTTTTTGGCGTTTTGTGGAAAATCGCTACTGCGCGATCAAAATCAGTCCGATTTTCATAAAATTTTCACCAAATGTTAGCCAGTGCATGCAAAATATGATAAAGTTGTAAAATTGACAAACAATAAAATATTGTAAGAATTATTCAGGAAAATCTTAAGTCACGGTGCCTTTACGCTTTTGAGTTATGTTCCTGCTGGTTTTAAGATATATTTATGAAAATATCATTTTTATACAGTAAAATAGTTGTTCTAAAAAATTGTGTTCGGAAATTTTTGTTTATTTCGTTATATATGTTTCAACATGGAATATATATGAAAGTGTTGGGAAAGCATCGAGAACAGCTAACCATGCCATTAAGCACGGCTCGAAGCAGAGAAAAAATATGGCCTGCCAGTCTAAAATTTTTTGGCAGGTGAAATAAGTTTTAGCCTGCCATTTTTATTCATTGAAGTGCCAAAAAAGCGATGTCTCATATGAGTCATATTGTAAAAATCAATGTTTTCATGATATGCAATTTTATTATTTTTAAACTTGTCAATTCAACTTGGATTCACAATTCAAATATAAACGTATTTAGTCAACAAAATGAGTTGTGGTAAGCAAATGAAATGAAATATATAGAATTTCACCTGCCATTTTTTTTTACTTGGCAGTTCAAATTTGTTTTTGCCTGCCATTTTTCTAAAATGTGGCCTGCTTTCGGCCATTGGCAGCCCGCTATTTCGAGCCCTGCATTAGGTCTTCTAGTAAAATTATTTCCATGGTCAACAAGATCGAACCATACTGCATGGTCACATGACTGCGAACCCCAAGTTTTGCTTACATTTTTCTGGTAATTGTACTCTCTCCCAATCCACAGTTCTTATAGTTTTCTGTTTCATTTCAGTCGGATCAAGAATTAAAACCACAGTTTTATAGTTTCCGTTGGATAACGGTTTTATTGAGCCAAGAATTTCCACTTCCAGGTGAGGGGGTTAAAGGTTATTTGGTTTTATAATTTGATCTGCTGTTAGTATAAACCATATGGTGTAAACACTGGCATTCGGGGTTT